ATATATATATATATATATATATATATATATATATATATATATATACACCTAAAGCAGCAAGCTTTTGCTTTTATTCCAGAAGCAGGCCATTGAATGTAATATTACTCATGACGGAGAGATGTCATAACACACCTTTGACTCCCTCAATTTGGTCTCTTTTCCCACCACATACAAATTCCTTCTCCGATTTTCAGATATGTTTCATATCTTGTGCAGAACAGATGGTTGCAGAACGCTGATAAAGATGCTTAGTGTCGTCAGTCGTAAGCTATTTAGTACTTAAACTGTGTTAGTCAACGTGCAAACATCAAACCTGATGTTGTACAATAGTTAATTTTTATGTTGTATAGTGTTTCATGAAATAATCTCATAATGGTGCTAAAATTGCACAGTTTAGGCAAGCCATTAGTCCTCAATGATGATTTCAAAACTATGTCCATTTTGATTTGAGGAAATGGTTCTTTGAAAAAGAAAGAGATGCAGTCAGACTCACTGCCTGATAAAAAAAAAGGCTTTTAACCCCAGGATCTGGTATCATTAAAGAGAACTGCAGCTAGCATTTGGTAGAAGTTACTTTAATTTAACCTAACATGTTACATTTTTAACAAATGGGTTTTTCTGAAAAGACCTAGATGCATCACACAGCTGCATAGAATAATTAAATACAGCTTAAATTCACTGACTACTATCTACAATGCTGAAATATCCAGATGCAGTCAAGCTTGTATTAGATAACATAGCTGAACTGCCAGGCTTATTCCTAACGTCATACTTACGTAAGTTTGATCATGACCCTGGAGAGTCGGTTTTCAGCTAATTGACATTTAGAGTGTGCCTGTTATCCTATCCTGGTTAAACAAAGGTTTGTTTTAAACACAAGTCCCATATTTCAGAGTCAGATGACTACCCTCTACCTCGTAGTGACATCTGTGCTTGTTTCATGTTACTTGTTAAAAAGCAAGCCATGCAGGGTGATGTTTCCATAGCTGATTTATTGCTCCAGTGAACATTATTAGTTGTTCACCAATGATAACGTGTAGATAAACTGGAAAAGGAAAACAATGGAGAAGAAAAACTGCTCCTGTTCTTTATGAAATGAAACACCTAAACCGACACCTAAAGCTTTTGGATCAAAACCAACAGGTATTTGGAATCAAATCTAAAGTAAATTTACTCTGTTGACAAAGAACCAATTCACAGCACATTTCATCACAGGACAATTTACAGAGTGAGTTCCATCAATTAATACAGAAATTGTTCTTTGAATAGTTTACTAAGGAGTAACTGAATTTTCAGTTGGGTCAGGTGGGCACTAGGTGATGCTTGCCCAGTCAGCTCAAAAAGTTTTGCTCAGTGTCCCTCCTTTACTGGACCGATTCAACGGGAGTGGTCTCAGATTATAAATGTTTACAACTAAGTCTGAGTGCTACACATTATCAACCTGGATTTCCGAGTTGGCTATCAGGATTCCTGTAGAGTATAAAGATTCAGTTTTACATCTCAACTGCTTCTCCTCACGATTTTCTGACATATCGAAAATTCCCCACACTAATGATAATCTACACCTTTTGTAACCCACATTCTGTTTTGTCTTTGAGAGACTTCCAGTTTTGCAATATCCTGGTTGTTCTAT